CATTTGGGGCAGGGTACGGTATTTTTTTTGGTCAAATACTAATAGCGCGAGGAAGATGGCGAGATTCAAGTTTAAGGTTCAACAGCAGGATTGGGGCTATTAGATGAACCATTAACCTCAGTAGCATATGGTAATAATAATTAATTTTTTGCACCATATTTTTATATTTTATCTAATAAACAAAGTGGTTCTTAAATTATTATTACTTTATTATTTTATCTTATTTTGCTATTTTGACGAGCAATTATTACAAATGATTTAAGCTAAATAGATGAGATTTGAATTTCGATATAGTACTAAAAAGTTAAATTTGGTACCTTGTTTTTTCATTTTATTGTAGCTGTATCGAAAGTCATTGTGTTGTCTATAATATAATTTGATTATGTTATAAGAGAACGAGACCTACTAATTTAGAATATCAAAGTAAAAGATTTGATCTCTTAATATAATAATCGTGTAGACTAGAAATGGAAATGATTATGATGTCGAGAATAATTCTTAGTCAGCATGATCCTGTTGTGTTCTTACAACACGTTAAGAGGATATATCGTGATAGATAATCCAACTAATTCAGCATCTAATTATTGATCAATTCTATGATTTCTTCCAAAACAAGTTTTTTTTAGAATTATTAATTAGTGACCATAAATAAGTTATAGTCCTATTCAAATTTTGATATAATAAAGCAATTTGCTTCCTAAGATGTAAGTAAAATTTCTATGAAATCACGTAAATTCTGTGTTTTTAATGTTGATAGTTTTTCTTAGTTGATGGACCGTCGTACTATGCATTTGCAACACCAACATTAAATGAAGTTGACTATGGTATTAATTTTTTTTTTTTGCTATTATACATACATTTATTATGTTTGTGGTTATTTTTACTAAATTTGTGGGTGCTTTTACTATTGTTGTGGTACCTAAAAAAATCGTAAAAATAGTTATCATAACAATGGTAAAAACACCAACAAATGTAGTAAAACACCCATAAATATAATTTTTTTTTGTATGGAAGAAAAGTGAAAAAAATAATTACCACAACAGTGATAAAAACACACACAAAAATTATAAATTACTCACAAAAGTGTTCAATTTTTAGGTTGTAAAATTATCCACAAAAATTAAAAAAAATATCCTTTAATATAATAAAATTTTAAGGTATGATACCAACATTTTTTTTAATGGTATGACTGTCAATCCTCAATAGGGCAATTGTGACATGTTTCTCTTTTTGCAGCAACTAATGAGCGCAAAAGATGCGTAAAAGACTGCAGTATCGTCGTCGATATATTAATAATTTTAATTCTTTAAGTTAAAGTTATAATTTTTGAGGTGCAAATTATAATTTATACTTAACTTGATTGATTCTAAAACATTGAGATGGATCATGAAAGTTATAACTTTCAAATATTAAGTTGTAATTGTAAAAATCTGTATTGGGTGTTATCATTGTCTGTGATTGTGCCCAATAGCATTGCCCTAGGAATTTTTCTTTTCTCAAAATTAACAACCTTTCTTTCTAGGAAAATTGAATGTTAAGATAAAACATGATGACATAATACCAAGACGAGCTTGCTTCTTATTCCTCATTTCTTTATGAAGATGGTTAGTTAATGGTCCATTATGTTGAACAATAATTCTTCGATAACTACTCATAAATTAAGGAAATGTTACAGCACGAGAGGGAATGGTGACAGTGACTCATGATATATAAGAAAGTTTTATTGCAAGGACAAGTTCATTGAGTCCACCACATGCAACTTGTAAGCCAATAGGTACAATTAAAGAGTTTTTTTGATCCAAAACAATACCTATAATCAGAAATACATAATTACTCTTACTGACAAGCAGTTGTTTACATAAAGTATCTTAATTGGATAATCATCTTTTTGTTTTTAAGATGCAAAAATACTAATTAAGGTTCTACATTTAATATTTTTTAAATTTAGTCTTTTCAATATATGTTTGGTCAGATGAAGAAACAGAGAGAAGATGAACTGTGCTTCAAGCTACATGTTGTCACACAAAATGACAATTAATTGCAATATGTTTGGTGCGATCATAGAAAATATCATTGTGAGCAATTTGTATCATACTCTGATTGTCACAATAAAGAATAGTATCACCAGAATGAAAGACACCTAAATCTTTTAAGAGTCAACGAAGCCAAAGAAGCTCCTGGGCAGTGTCAGCAAGAGCACGGTACTTTGTCTCTATACTGGATCGAGAGATAACAGACCCTTTTTTACTGCACTAAGAGATGAGAGAGTCGCCTAGTAAGAAATAGTAATCAACGATAGAATGATAATTAATAGGATTTCTTGCCCAACCAGCATTATAATAGATGCGTAGCTCGAGAGATGAGTGAGTAGAGTAATGAAGTCCATGAAACATAGTATCCTAAATATATGGTAGAATACGAAGAACAGCAGCATAATGAGTAGAGTGAGGGCTAATCAAAATTGGCTGACAAGATGAACAACATGGGCTATATTTGGGCGAATAACAGTGAGATACACAATACTACCTACCACCTGGCAGTAAAGAGTGACATCAAGGAGATGTGTGCCATCCAAGGGAGTAAGTCAAACATTTTTCTCTAATAGGGCAGGTACAATCTTGTAATCAATGAGTCCAGCACGAGTAAGAATATCATAGGCATACTTGGCCTAAGGAATATAATAATCATTGGGGTCAGACGGGATCTCAAGGACCAAGAAGTAGCTGAGAGAACCAAGATTAGAAATACCATAAACATCACCCCTAATGATAATCATATCATCAACATAGAGAAGTAATAGAGTAGTGTCACGTTCAGACTTACGAACAAAGAGAGCCAAATCATAAAGGCTAGAAGAGTAACCAAAATTTTCAATGGTAGCACTAAACTTTGCATATCAAACTCTAAGGACTTGCTTGATGCCATATAGTGCATAACGAAGTCAACATACCTGATGTGGTGAACGAGGATAGTCAGGAGAAGGTTGCATGTAAACTTCCTCAGTAAGGTCACCATTGAGAAAGACATTTTAACATCCATCCGATATAATTCTAATTGGCAGGATATAACAACAACTAGTAGGCTTTGAACTGAAGTGAGACAAGTAATGGGAGCAGAAGTCTCCTCATAATCAATACCATACTCTTGTGTAAAACCTTAGGCCACTAAGCGAGTCTTATGATGCTCAATAGAACTATCAGAATGAGTTTTGATCTTATAAACCCATTTACACCCAATAGCCTTTTGGTTAGAAGGAAAATGAGCCAAATCCCAAGTGTGTGTATCAGCTAGTGCCTACAATTCCTCTTTCATTGCTTGCTGCCAATGAGGGTCAAAGCTAGCCTCATGATAAGAGTGAGGTTCATGTTAAGATAGAATAGTGGAGAAACAATGATAATCATGTAAAAGAACATGAATGTTCCTTATCCGAGTGGAATGACGCTTCTGATAAGTAAAACAATGAGTATCACCATGAAGTAGTGCAGAGGGTTCAGGAGATGAGGTATGATCACTATCAGTATGAAGTAGGGCAGGAGTAGGATCAGGATTAGAAGGCAAGACAGAAGGCTTTGAATGGTTTGTAGATGGGAGCTCAGATGAGTCTGGATGTGTTGAAGGGTCCATAGATGGGAGCTTAGATGAGTCTTGATGCAGGTAATCAAGACATAGATCCATAGATGTATCAGTAAAGAGAGGAGAGTAAGGGCAAATGAAAGCTGAAACTCAGACAAGGAGGAGAACAAGTTGTGTTCCCAAAAGACATCATGTCGAGAAATACGAAGACGCTTTGAATATAGATCCCAACAATATTAACCCTTATGTTCAATCTCATAACCCAAGAAACAACAAAGTCCTGCCCGAGGTTCCAACTTGTTACGCTTATGAGGCTGGAGTAAGACAAAAAATGCACAATCGAAGACTCAAAGAGAGTGATAATTAGGAGAAGTGTCATACAATTGCTCATATGGAAATTGATTCCCAATAATAGGAGGGGAAATATATAATTGATGGTATACATGGAAGTAAGAGTAACTTCACCCCAAAACTGCTCAGGACACAAGAAAGAAAATGAGAAGAGCACGAATTGTGTCAAAAATATGATGATGTTTGTGCTCAACACGTCCATTTTGTTGAGATGTGCTAGGACAAGAACGATGAGGAATAGTCAAAGATGTATAAGCTCAAACAAATGTCCATGCTTACCACCTATCCAAAGGGTCCGTCATGTCCCTGGGTCTTGGACAATACAACCAGTAGAAGAAAACAAAACAATGAGTTTGAGGTCACAAAGTTGACCCACAAATATGAGATTGAGAGTAAGATTAGGTATGTGATAAATATGGGGAAATGACACATAGGATGTAGAGATATGCCCAGCGTGATTGACATGCACATGTGAACCATCTGTAGTGTGAATGGGGCAGATAGAACCAACAGATTGTATGGAAGAAAAAAATAATTCATCAGAGGTCATGTGGTTATAGCATGCAGAGCCAAAGAACCGGGATGATTTACTTGAAATAGCATACAAATCAGTAGAAGATGGATTAAGTGATAAAAAAAGAACCTAGTTGAGGATAGTCGCAAGATCACTGGCACTAAAAGCCGATAAAAGAGACATTGGAGAATAAGAGTTATTGACAATAGAAGTAGAAATATGAGAAACATGCATAGACTTGTCGCTAGATGATTGTTAGATCTATACTGCTGGTTGGTGTTAGGTCTGCCATTCTTGGGTGCATTATGGTACAAATTTTATGGATAGTTACTCAGATAATTACTTTGGCTTTTTTGTGATAAAACTTACAAACTCGGGTAGGACAGTTGAGTAAAGCATGACCAATCTTGTGACAATATGAGTAGTGAGACTGGATCATATTAGATAGTGCCATAGTGGATTTGAATGGTCATTGAATGACTGGAAGGTCGATCGGACTGTCGTCGGAGGATGACTAGAGGTGATCAAAATATCACCAAAAAGTAGCCGACAGATGGTTAAGGGCTGATCGGAATATCGTCAGAGGATGGCCGGAAGGTTACCAAAGGATGGTTTGGGGCAGATCAGAACATCGCCGGAGGATGGTCGGAGGACAAATTTGAACGTCAACGGAGGATGGCCGAAGAGTTGCCAGAGGATGACCGAGAGAGGTTGTCGGAGGACAACCGGAAGGACAAAAAGTCTCAAGAGTTCCAATGTAGAGGATCCATCGTATGACAACCACAAAGCTAACATTGGCTAGAAATATTCACGAGCCTACGCTCTAATACCATGTCAAATAAGAGAATAGAAAGCGAATATCAATTATATATTATTTTATTGTAATTTATAATGTACACGAAAACGTGTATTTATAGTAAAAGAGAGTAGTGAGGTTTTTTAGTCTGTGACAAACATATTGTTATTATATACATTAACAATATAATATAACTTATTTGTTCAATTCAGGTAAATGTTTTATTAATTTAAGTAATTTTGAATAGCTTATTGTACAGAAGCAACAGCTACCAATCAAGTAAATAATATTCCATGGTATTTTAATCGTAGAGTTACTTTTTAGATGTAAAACTTGAAAGAATTTTAGTTATGAAAATAAACTTAGGGCAATAGTATTAGAAAAACTTCAAGATAAAGAAAATATTTTTTTCAAACTACCATCATCAAAATATTTAAAAATAGTGCCTTGTATTTTATCTTTTGTAGAGCGTTGAACATCGTTATAAATTACTTGTGGACCAGGTCAAATATTTGATTAACTTTCAATGGTTTTACTTCATTTCGGATCATTGGCAGTCATATCAATGACCTAATTATTTCATGACGAAAAAATAAAAGTACGACTAAGTAATTTTTTGATCCAGCTGATCGGAATGAAAAGCTCCATGATCAGTGCACAAGACTCTAGTAACTATCGGGTTTGAATAAGCTCAGAGTCAATAAATTTTTCCATGCATAGAGTTCCGAAATGAGCAAATCTAGGAGTGAAACTAAATCTTTCACCTATTTGATCCAATAACGTTCACCAATGATATTACACAATTATTTTTCTGAAGGGAAAATAGAACTTTTTGAGAATTTTATCAACAAAACATCACCTGTTTATTTAAAAAACACACAATACTTGATTCTGTAGGGAATATAAGAGAAATATTCAAAAAGTCGTATTTGAATACTGATAATCTATGTCTTGCTTCTTACAACCATATTTATAATAAAAGATAGCCTAAATTAAATTGTAATCCCAACAATATTAATAATAAAGACAGAAATTGCTATATGTGTGCCTCATAATGGAGTGCTATATTTGTCCTACATATAAAGTGTTTTGTAAGTTTGTGTTTTGGATTTTTAATGTATAACGCGTTTTAAAATTGTGTGGAATTAACTAGCGAATAATATGGTGCAGCTTGGTTCAAGATCTGTAAACTTTGCGAGTGATTCGAAATATCAATTCCTTAGTAAACCTCGTAGGATAAGCCGCCTGTTTCTTTCAGCCTCATCTTTCTAATGGGGCCTTGAACCCCCACTCCCACTCACTCAGGTTCCATCTTAGTCACATAGCTGGTGGTATTCTGTAGCCGCCCATCCTTTGTTTCATATGGTTTTGTTCAATTCTCAACTCCAAGGAAATGGTAATCCTTTTGAGTTTTGTTTGTATATGTACATAACAACATGTGGTCTATAGGTTATTGATGGTGTAAAACAATGTGGATGAGCTAAAAGTGCTGGTGACGTGAGATGATCGTAGATCAGAGCTGTTGGGCTCGTGTGTGATGCTAGAATGAAATGTCCATGGGATTTGAGGGGTGCACACAATGAAAATATAATGGTTCACCGGCTCAGGAGCTCAGCTAGTCCACTTCTTCAATGGAAGTTCTTCCTCCCTCTCCTCTATTCCTCACTCTAATGTTTTACAATTCGATATATCTCGAAATTAGGGTTTGTTTTTTCTGCCTCCTCTATGGAGGCGTTACATAGTATTTATAGGACTGTTCTCTATTCTGTCGGATCTCAGCCGAGATCTTTGCCTGCTATTAGGGAGATTCTCCTTGATTTTAGAAGAGAATGTTGGTTGGTTGGGAGTTTCGTGTTTTGAACCTAATTTTCGCAGTTATCCAGCTGTTCCCTGGTCTGTCCCGCTATTATCTTCCCAATGGGAGCTCTGGCCCCGGACTTCTGAGCTCCTCGTATTCTATCAGACCTCTTGACCTGACCTTGTTTCCTGAGCTCGCTCTTATGATTTATTTGAGATATCATCAGTTATAGCCATCAACATAATACATAACAGGTCTTACTGGATCAGAACAGAAGTTTTTTGTTTGTTTTTTTGGTTGATTTTTCGTTTTGATGTACAATCGCCAATCAAACGGTAATCCTAGCGCATCTACTTCTTATTATCATCTTTAAGACTTGCTTTAAAACCAATAAAAAAAATTTAGTCATATCCCTCTATGACTTTATGGGTGGTGGATATGGTGATCCAAGGTCCAAGAAGCCAAGAAACCATAATGCTCATGACTAAGATGGATGAGGTAAAGTGGGAGCGTCAAGTCGTCGTCCCTCATCTTCAATTACTTGATAAATTGTGGGTGAGATGTTTTATAAGTGAGTTTTCGTCCTAGGTCATTTTCATTCTATTTTATCCTGTTTCTTTCTTATTAGTACTGCCCATCGATCAGCTTTTCCAAAGATGTTCCTCCTCTTAAGTTCCTCGTGGGGCTCTAATACTTACCTGCCAGCAAAGCAGTTTAATATCAGAAAAAATCAAGTCTGGCGTGCTAATTAAATGAACATGAAAATTCTCGAACTTTGCTAAAAAAAAAAAAAAAATTACTACTATGACCAAAATATTAATGGAAGCAATATGCTTGTAATTATGACTATTAAATTATCACGATCACATGACTCGCACCACTAAATGCACTATTTTTTATCAACTAATGGTCACAATACACTATATTCTCAACTTATATTCTTAAATCATCTCACTAGGGTATGCTATGGAGTCCGATCCCCTCCAATAAACTTTTCTTCCAATTTTTTTATTGAAGGATCATTAACCATTAATGAGGGAGGGTCCCACTAGTACAAAATGATGCATGGTAGGTTATTTGAAAAAAATAAAGGAATTGAATATAAAATATATTAGGGAATCTCAATCCCAATGCTATATGATAATATTGAAAAGAGTAATATTACATGAATTTAAAATTTAACTTTATCAATTGACATTATTGATTTCATTATGGTTCCAATATCTATTGAAACTCATTATTTATTTAATGGTTGTGATTGATCAAATCTACATTTTAAAACTATAAACCTAACATAGAAGGAATAGAGGCAGTCATAAATATTTAACAAGATAGTTAAAAATGATACAACAGCTAGTTATTTAACAGAAAATATGCTTCTCGATGAATTTCACAATTGCCTATAACAATATTGTGTATTTGAACTCAAATAGTTAAGATAAAAAAAATACTACATGTACTTAAAAAGTAGACTCGATAATCTTAACCATTAATTTCACTGTGTGCCCAATATTTATTAGAACCCACTATCTATTCAATGGTTGAAATTATCAAGTCTAATTTTTAAGTCCACCTAATATTACTCTATGATAAAATTTCACTTACTTGATTTGAGTGGAGGCTACTATTTTCATTGGTGTGGTACGGATGAGAGAGGAGGTGAACCTGCTAACATGCCGCAAAGGCATGTGCTTGAGATTGAATTCATTTCAATTAATTTGTGGGGGAGTTGAAAATCTACATTCCTCTTACGTACCAAAAATTAGGTTGCCTACCTAAAATGATAGTAATAATAATGCAAATGATTATACACCAGAATGTCAAAGGCTAATTAATCTATACTTCTTCATTTTTACTTTGAATAGTCCACGGTCAAATGGTAGGAGAGCAGCAAAATGTTCTTATCCTTAATTTTGACATTGTCTATACCCAAGAAGCCTCTATAAATTTCATGAAACGATCAACATGCAAGCTCAAAAACTCTTTCCAACACAGAAAGGAGGAAATCAAACATGGGAACTCATAGTATTGCAATTATTTTATTACTTTTAGCGCTTTCAGGATCTGTTTCATGGGCAAGTTCCGATTCAGTTCATGATGAGTTCCTCCAATGCTTATACAACCATTCTCAACCCTCTTCCCCAATCTCTGCAGTAATCTACACACCCAATAATTCTTCATATTCGTCTGTTTTGCAGTCTTATATTCGAAACCTTCGATTCAATGAGTCTACAACCCCTAAACCACTGCTTATAATCACTGCCTTGGATGTATCCCACATCCAAGCAGCCATTATCTGCGCCAAAACTCATGGATTGCAGATGAAAATCCGAAGTGGAGGACATGACTACGAGGGTGTCTCGTATGTATCCGAGGTTCCTTTCTTCATACTTGACCTGTTCAATCTTCGATCCATAAATGTTAGTATCGCAGATGATTCAGCGTGGGTTCAAGTTGGAGCAACTCTTGGTGAAGTTTACTACAGAATTGCTGAAAAAAGCAATACTCATGGCTTCCCTGCCGGAGTATGCCCCACGGTCGGTGTTGGTGGCCATTTCAGTGGAGGTGGATATGGTAACATGATGAGGAAATATGGCCTGTCAGTTGATAATATCGTTGATGCACAGATAATTGATGTTAATGGCCGAGTTCTAGACCGAAAATCCATGGGAGAAGATTTGTTCTGGGCCATTACAGGTGGTGGTGGATCTAGTTTTGGCGTCGTGCTTGCATACAAAATCAATTTGGTTCGTGTTCCAGAAACAGTCACTGTTTTCCAAGTCCGGAGGAACCTGTCACAAAATGCAACGGATATCGTGTATCGTTGGCAATACGTTGCAGACAAGTTGGACAATAACATCTTCATTAGAATGATCATTGACGTTGTAAATGATACTACGACCGGGGAGAGGACGATAAGGGCCTCATTCCTCACCTTGTTCCTCGGGAACTCAAGAAGCCTTCTCTCCCTCATGAATCAGAGTTTCCCTGAGTTGGGGTTACAACAATCAGACTGTATCGAAATGAGCTGGCTCGAATCAGTTCTTTATTGGACCAACTTCCCCCTTGGAACCCCAGTAAATGCTTTACTTAGTAGGGTTCCTCAAGTATTAACCCATCTAAAAAGAAAATCTGATTATTTGCAGGAACCGATTCCAAAAAATGGCTTGGAATACATATTTA